ACCCGGGACATTTTCGAATACTGAACGGTCCGAATCGTGTGCGAGAAATTCTCGAACAATATATTGATTCAAAAGATGGCTGTTGTAGTAAATTAACTGCCTCTTGCTTGCAAACTCTTACAAGTGGCTTTTTTAGATCTGGTTGTTTTCGACTTTGTCCTTGCTAGAGTTACTTATGACTATGTTTTGTATATAAATGTATCGGAACGGTTATCGACTATAGATAACCATGCTGGCATTCTTTTTGACTTGGAAAATGTAGAACTTTTCCGTCAGTTCAGATTAATTTCTCTAACCAACTAATTCAGATATGATTTGAGGTCTTCTTTAAACTCCTGTCTTTCGACTTGAATATCAATCAAGAAAGCTGATTATACCAATTCAAATGGAGAGAAGAGTTTGAATTACATTAGTGTGTAATATGAGCCAAGTTGTTTGAAAACGTGAGAGCAATCTCACTGCAAAATTGTGTAATATCCATTTACAACGAGACAATATTTTTTTGCACTGCTTGCATACACTAGTGGGCGTGTACTGCTGCTTTTAACGCTTACAGCGAATCAATCGTTTTTTATTTATTTTCCCCACCTAGGCATGGACGGCACAAAGGATGTGATAATTCGCACTTCCCGAAGTATTTCCTCGGAAGGTTTAATCTGTATTTATTAGACAACACACAGCACTGCTAACAGATGAACACTACCTGACTGTCCCTGGATTTTTCCAACACGGATTCTGTACAGACCAACTGAGATCGTTATAGTCACTGTCAATAAAGCAATAATGCAAACAGCTACTACCGTCAGTTTCGACCTGGAGATACACCTGAAACATCTGTAGATTTAAATGAATTTAACGGATGTGACTTGTATCCTCCTACATACCCCACATGCTTAGGTGTCATATACATATCCTATTCACTTGATAATGACCATAATAGGCTGAAATATTGTCACAACATAAAAGAATGTTGTCATTTCACATAGCTGCATTAACTATACAATTTATCTTAAAGTTGTTGCCGATTCAAAAGAAAATATTTGAAATAACAACTGTTTTTATTTTTATTTTTGTATAAATTTCACGGTACGTTAGAAGGAGTGAATGTTAAATAGAAAGTTTTTTCGTCATAGACATACTAGATTGCCGCGGCGACAAACGGAACAGGACAAATTAAACAACGCACGATGATTGATACTTCCGAAATAGTTCGTTTATTAAACACTGACGCAACTATATTTCTACAGCTTTACCTACTAACATTCTTGCCTATTCTTAACAAGAAATTAAGATTATGTAAACGCCTTGGGTAAGAAAGACTGTATCGTTCTGTCCTCTTACATTTATAATAGAGCCGAAGATTTCAATAATATTTGGGATGAACAGGGAAAAGTAAATATGATCCGAAATTTCATTTTCTATCAGTCTACGCCTGCGTTTTGACTAGAACACTTCTCTATGGTTCTCAAAAATCGAGGTAGGCTCTTATATCTTTTACGTTGAAAGGAAGTCCGTTGTGAGATTCTCCTATGACCTGAACAGGAAGGGAAGTGCTCATTTACTTTTCTCTATGGTTGGTGATATAAACTATCTTTTTTTACTTTGAAAATGCGTTTTTGATAAATCATTTATAGAGGCTCTAAACATTTTCCAAAGATAGAACTAACACTTACTCATACACTCAGACATACATGAAACATACTTAAGGAGTGGATTATTCTCAAAAGAAGATAATTGATATTTGCACTCTTAGACTCGAGCTTTGTACTAAAAGTTTGTGAAATCTAACTGAATGAAAAATGAGTCTTTGCAATCTGTACCGCTTTCGAATAATACGCTTCTTTTTTGCATGGGGGGTCACGGTAATGGTAAAAATAAATTTTTATCGATCGTAATGGTATGGTAAATGGTAACGAAAAAGTCATGGTAACAGGGCTCTACTTCTATCTCCTTCCTATCAAAAGTTATTCAAAACACATCCGAGTACACTATATTTTGAAATGGATAGTAGTTGCTGTAATCAAGCGCATAATACAAGGTGAATCATGAGGTGCATTAACTGAATATTAATTATGTATTTTATTCATGTAGTTGGTTACGTTTAAGCATGCATCACTCCCAAGCCTATACTTGGAGTTTCAGATTAGAATTGGGTCTATAAAGTTTGAGATCGATATAACTTAAAAAGTTCACTCATCTCGGGCACATTAGAGTTGTTCGTAATGGTAATCGTTTAACATTTAAGAAGAAATCGATGTCTTACAGTTTATGGGTATGCATCAATTTTTTTTGATCTTTTCTCATTCTCTTCGGTTTTCTCTGTAATTGAAGGCCACTTTATTTCGGCTTTCATCACAGAATTTCTCTCCCATGTCTCGTTTTTTTAATAGAAAACTGACGGTATTCTTAAATACCATCGGTATTTAAGAATACCGCCATATACCGCCAGTTTTCTTAACAAAACGAGACATGGGCTCCTCTGCAAGAACACGATTTATATCAAACAGGAAAAAAAACTGTAAGTTAAAAGATTTTATCGGCCGAACATGAGTAAATGTTTAAATGTTCTTTTGCCTACCCTTCTATTAATAACCTTGAAAGTCACACTCAGAAAATAAAGTTTGTATGTCAGTGTATATTTCACCAGTGAGTCAATTCCGTCCAGAATACTGTGACATTTCTCAGTGTGCAAAAGACAAAGAACAGAATGAAAGAAAAACAATCATTCTCATCGTTTTTTTTCTTTCTCTAGTGAAAAAACATTTTTTCCACTGAGTCAATTTCGTCCAAAATGTGTTCTTTCATGGTGCCCGTTTCACACTTTATCTTTTTCAGTGCTTAGTACATTTGTGTGTCATCGTTAACTGAATAACAACTGTAACTTCTCTGTTATACAACTCATCGTACACTTACATTTTAAATTACAGGTACAACGAACTTTCTTAATTACTTTTCGGTTATAGAGAGGCTTTTTGACGAGACATTGACAACAGATAGGAAGCTACAAATGTGTGGCGGGAATGCAAACTTAATTTTCAAATAAATTATATATACATGACTCTATCTGAGTATGATTACGGGTTCAACTCATCCATCTCTGAGAATAAATAGAGATTTTAAGTTTGATACGTCACTATAAGTTATATTATATCTGAAGTATGCCCAACAGAAATAAGTCTCCTCCATGACACTTTTTCCAGGAGTTATAGACATCATTGGGCAATTCCTTTTTCTGTTACATTGTGTTCAAACTGTGGAGACATAGAACATAATTTTGGCAGTTTCAACAAACTGTCAATCGTAAAGGAACGGTTTGTGGAATATTTTCAAAAATTGCGTTTTAGTGGTCAAATAAACTTATTAGAATTAGAAGTCTCTATTCTAATTCTTGACAGCACCTTCGAGCCGACGTTCCGATTAATGCGTCCATATTTCATTTCACGTCCCGAAAAACCCAAGCACAGTTATTTCATTTTAAAATGTCTAGTAGACATATGATGACTTGTATTGAAATTTATTTAGCTTTTATTTATGCACCATTTGATAGAGAATTTGACGCTGAGTAAGAACATTACCTCCCGAACTTCTAGAAACCTTTTCTTCTGGCTGACACTCAGGAAAAACTAGAAAGCGCTGGAAAATTTGATTTTTCTTGATTGTTTTAAAAGGCGAGTTTTCTAAAATCCTTTACTAATAGGAAAATTGTAACTACCATATTCTTGTTCAGCGTCAAAAACTGAATTAGAAAATAAGCGAAAGACCGTTTTTGACCCAAACACCTATATGTCAAAGGGCTCGGAAACAAAACGACCAAAAAGTTCGATGCGTTTTTCCAAAGTTTTCCTGCGTTTTTCTACGTGTGATAGACCCAATATGTTTACATGGCTCGATACCCTAGATGCTAAGCTAGAAAGTTACGGCGCCAGATTTTTGAAATTTTCGTTCGTTGCTGAGAAGTAGAGTTTACTAGGAAAATCGATTTTCAGAATCATTTCAGAATAAATATCATGTTTAGACTCAGCGCCAAAAGTCGAGTCGAATGATGTGTCCTTTTATCCTATTAGATCACTTTAATTTTTCTCAATTTTCGCGTCGAAGAATTACCGAGATTTTCATCAAAAAAGAAAAATAAAAGAAAAATTTTGAATTATATATCATTCAACTCGATTTTTGACCCTGATTCCGAGCATGAGATTTTCATTGCGTGAAAGTTGAGTTCTGATGGAGAAAAGTGCGAATTAGAGTCAGAATTTCGATTTTCCCAGTAAACTCCACTTCTCAGCAACGAAAGAAAATTTCAAAAATCTGGCGCCGTAACTTTCTAGCTTAGCATCTAGGGTATCGAGCCATGTAAACATAATGGGTCTATCACACGTAGAAAAATGCATCGAACTTCTTGGTCGTTTTGTTTCCGAGCCCTTTGACGTATAGGTGTTTGGGTCAAAAACGGTCTTTCGCTTATTTTCTAATTCAGTTTTTGACGCTGAACAAGAATATGGTAGTTACAATTTTCCTACTTGTAAAGGATCTTAGAAAACTCGCCTTTTAAAACAATCCCGAAAAATCGGATTGCGCAAGGTTATTGGGACAATCGGCCAACATCAGAACGAAATACAAGAACAGCTGTGCTATCTATAGCTTGGAAAGCAAAACTAAATCACCACATAGAGAACACTGCTTAAAAAAATTCTCTTGTTTGAATTAACCCCCCCCGCTCACATTAGAAGCCCAGTCTGGCAAGAAAATTTTTGAAAATTGCCCCTGCCCCCATAGGGTACTTTTTGAGAAAATTTTGCCTTTCTTGCGGGACATAATAGAAGCCCACTGGGCTTCTAACGTGGACGGGGGTTTATATTAGAAAAAAATCAAACCATGTTACACCATTTGATCATTGTTTAAGTAATTGAAGTTCATTTTCTATTCAGGTTTCCAAAATGATGAATGACACAATCGCAAAAGAGGAGACTGCCCACAATAACAATAGTAAAAAGATTTTTATACCTACTATTGGCTCATTGGGTGATGTCATGCCATATTTGATCCTTGCGAAAGAGCTCAAAACACATGGACATATTGTATGGGTAGGCGTACACAAACGCTTCGAACAACAGGCACAAGATATGGGTCGGTACTGCTGTTCGTATGTTGCTTTAATATTAGTTCTAGTCGCCCATGCTAACAACTTTTAGCACAATCTCTAAAAAAAGGTGCGTAGTTTTGAAGCCTAAAAAGAAGAGTTTCTTAATATCTAAAACCAAATGCAGAACTCTTTAAAAGAGCGGAAAAGCGATTTTTCTTTTGTTTAAAAAATCCAACCGAACTTTGCAAGATGGTAGAGATGTTTAAAAAATCCTTTATAAAACGAAAAAGAGGGTTATTAAATTATAAAAAGTAGGAATACGTTTTATTGAGATCAGTTGGATTTTTTGAACAAATGAAAACCACTGTTCAGCTGTTATCTTTCTTTTCAGGTTTTTTAATTATGCATCTTTTTTAGAGTAGTACCTTTTTTAGACTAATGGACAGTAGTGTTTGAGTTCCAACTGATTGGAATTCAAGAATTGAATGAATTCTACGGGAGACTTTTGTGATTAATAAAATAGTTGATGCGACTGGTTCAATTTTCGATAACTGTTGGAATTTTAAATCATTTATATCACATTTTTTATCCGACAGAATGCAAAGAAATTTACAGATGCTATAGAGGAATTTTGTGGATATGTAGAAGAATTGTAGGAGTAGGTGAAGAAATTTTAGGAGTCGTATGAAGCTTTTCTCAACGTGTTGAGAAAGAACATAACGGCTCACGAGGATGTGAGTACTGAAGTGCGGCACAACATTTCATCTGAAATCAACATATCCAGGAAGATACCTAAATAAAAAAATATGCAGTCATCCGAAGGAGGGCGTAGTTTTGAAGCTTTGGATGATTTACCTACCAAATCCAGTGCTAGGATAATTTTGTCCATTACATTCGTGAGACTTGCTAAAATGTTTTCATCCTCCCCCTAGAATTCTCCACATTATCCATAGAATTCTTCATATTCTTGTAAATCTCTCAAATAAAGATATTTATATATTATATGATGTAAAGTTCACAGTTTTATTGTTCTCTTGACTGAAAGTAAATGATCATACAAAATTAATGTCAGTGGCCGTGTCCGACCGATGAAAATGAAGAAACACAATAACGTACAGAGTATGAGATGAAGCGCTATGATGTTTTTAGCGTAGAAGTAATCGGCTAGACGAATCCGAAAATAACAAAAAGTGACATATAGGAGTGATCCTGTTGATCGAAAGTTCATTTTTTTTTAAAGGTACTGGTACACGCACTGTGTGTAGTTTCTGTTCTAGCCGTTTCTTTATACATCTATCGTCTAAATTTCAATTTTGGATGATAGAAAGGAAAACTAAACGTTTACAATGCAATCGCTCGGTTACTCTCTATTTTAAGCACGTATTTTCATGTATTAATACTCCTCTCATGACTTGAAACGATCTATTATTATAAAAGTTAGACATTAACACTTAAATGTCATTTTACTCAAGGATCAAATGAATCGTAAATAAACATTAATTGTTATTTATAGAAAATGGCAAATGATTTTTAAAAAGACTAAAAATAGGATTTTACAAAAAATAGAAAATGCTCGTGTGTTTATTATATGAAATTTTTGAAAATTGTCAACTATTTTCAATAAATACTTTTTCTCTTATCGATGTTGGCGTAGAGTCAATATTTTTCTTGTGTTTGTACAATCCATCTATATATTTTTTTGTTTTAGGTATTGATACAATTGAGCTTGATGGTGATATGGACATTGTCATGTCGTCAACACCTGAAGCTATTGAACTTCAACGAAATCCTAGCATTTTTAAACTAAGCTTGATCAAAAGCATATTTTTACCATTGATGGAGAAATGGTTTAATGGAATTGTGGCCAATATAAAGGATGCTGATTTAATTGTGTTATCAATTAATTCTGCCATTGTAGGCATGAGTGCCATTGAGAAACATCCTGGTATAAAAGCAGTTGCAATCTATCCTTTTCCTTGTACACCAACAAATGAATTTTCTCCTCCTCTGTTAAGTGGAAAAAGTGAAAGTTTATTTCACTGGATAAATTCATTAAAATGGAAAATGTCTAATTATGGTATGTCATCTATGTATGGTGATAAAATCAATCAGCTTCGTGCTTCAATTAATCTTCCAGCAATTAAATTACTTGATTATTGTCATAATTTAGTATCAACTGTTGCAACTGCTACTATTTATTCTAAATATTTACTTCCTCGTCCTTTAGATTGGTCTGAAAATAATCAAATGGTTGGTCCTATTTTTAATCAAAATCTTTCCATTGATTTTAAGCCATCAGAAGATATTGTTGAATTTTTGGAAATGAATAAAAAAGAAAAGAAACTATTATACATTGGTGTTGGATCAATGATGCATATTATGTTTGGAGAAAAAGAACAATTAGAATTTTTAACTGTTATTCAAGCTGCTGTACTCAATAATAATAATTGCAAAGCTATTGTGTCTCTATCTGGAATTGAAATCAAAGATTTATTTTTAACTAACAATGACAATAATAATATATTTTATTTGAAAACAAATATTCCACATACATGGTTATTTCCTCAATTAACAGCTGCTATACATCATGGTGGAGCTGGTACAACACATACAAGTTTAAAATTTGGATTACCAACATTAATATTACCATTTGGAGCTGATCAACCATTCAATGGTGATAGAGTATATATCAATAAATTAGGGCCAAAACCAATTCCTGTTCGACAAATAAATGTCAAAAATTTAACAAATGCAATACAAGATCTTCTTAATACCGATGAATATCAAACAAATGCTAAAAAAATTGGTGAATTGATTGCTAAAGAAAATGGTCTTGATCATTGTATAAAATTAATTGAATCACAATTCATGTAGATATTCTTCAAAATACTTTTTAACGTTTTGCTTGAATTTCAATATTCTTAGTATTGTTATTCATAAGCTTTATTTGCTTTCCTAGCAATGCATAATTATTTAAAACGAACAGACTATAAATAGAATTAAGTGAATTAATTCCATCGTTTTATCTATGTATGACACGTGTTCTGATTGAGGATTATTATTATTATTAGTAGTTTTTAATTATCTCGCTAAGACATGACTAGATTTTCCGACGTAAAATATTTCTATATGAGAATATATCTTATTAATATATTTAATAATTGATTAGCATTTTGTTAAAATCGATGAAGACATATTTCGATCATACATTTTATTTAATTGACTACTGATTATGAAATTAACAAATGTTGTCAGATATTTATTTTCTTGTATCATCAGATGTATATAATTAAATTCTTTATATATTAATTCATTATTAGAACAAATTCTAATCGCTCTAGTGACTAATACTGAAATTGCTTCCGTTTTGTACGATCTAGGAACATGACTTTGCCATTTTATCATAAGATTTGTGATTGTCGTTTTTCCATGAGTACTAGTAATAAAATTATTACCTGTATGTTCTACCACGAACATCTAAAAATGGAATTTGAAAATTTTTTTCTGATTCAAATGTGAATTTATTCGATCCATGGAATACATTTAGTATACTTAGAATACCGGTTTCATTCGCATCTTTATCAATCAACGTAAAAGTATCGTCCACACAACGTCTCCATACTATTAATCTATTATTATTATTATTATTAATTATTTTGAAAATATGTTGGTCTTCAAAATTTGCCATGAATAACGCGGCAAAAAATAGCGACTCGTAGAGAGCCTATGGATATCTTGTCTGTTTGTTCATAGTAATTGTTATTAAAAACAAAAAATGATAACACAAGTAGCGAAGTTTGATAATTTTATAAATATTAAACAGTTTTCTTCTCTTTTCTTTCTGTTTCTTCAGTGACTATATATTTCTGCGGTAATAATTGTTGAGTTAATCAAATGAGTTTGGAATAAAGTGAATATTCCCGATTCTGTACACAAATACTGCACTTTTGTTCATAATATTTACTCTGCATTCGATAGAAAAGAATACTGCTTAGCTGTTTTTCTGGATTTTTCCAAAGCGTTAGACTGTGTCTGACACAGAGGTCTTCTTTCTAAACTTGAAGCTAAAGGTATTCCAAATTCATTATTAGAATGGTTTAGGAGTTATTTGTCCGACAGAGAGATTATCACAATGGTTGAGCGTAGATATTCGTCTAAACGTGTAATAAATCATGGTGTTCCTTAAGGAGTCTGTTCTTGGGCCGTTGTTTGTTTTTAATGTATATTGATGATTTGTGCAACGGTA